AAGTGAAAAACATTCATAGTACTAATCTAAATATTTTATTTGCTTTCTAATAAGGTTGTTGTTGAATCTCAGGTGGATTGCCCATTCAAACTGGACATGGCTCTAAACTCTGTTGATGACATGTACGATGGCTGTGAAACGGAGATGCAGAACCGTACACTGAAAGAATATTTACAAAAGGAGCAAAACAACAAGAACTTCAAAAAAGCCTGGAAAGCAGCAGAAATATATTACAACAATAACTTGTGGAATGAACGACAGCTAAGCAAAAACCAAATCAAGGCTCTTCATGCTTACACCCTTAGCAGACCACAATTATATCAAGAATTCAACAAAGCAGTCCGTGAACAAAAGGCTCAGTACCAAACTGATTTTCATTATCACACACTTCACTTCTATCTTACCATGGCCCTGCGCTCCCTCAAAAACGGATCAGAAGAATGTGTCACGAGTTACCGGAGAACACCTTGCAAATTCCAAAAAGATGTTGTTAATAATAAAATTCGCTTTGGTTCCTTTACCTCTAGTTCAAAGGATGACTATAGCGAAAAAGGGTTTGGTACTGAATCGTGCTTTGAGATCTACACCTGCTTTGGAGCAGACATCTCTCCTTTCTCTAAGTTTGAAAATGAAAAAGAGGTCCTGATCCCTCCCTATGAGGTTTTCAAAGTAACGGAGATAGAGGAAGAATCCACCAAGAAACTTCCATGTAAGGTTGTCTATAAACTGCGAAGCACAAGAGAAACCCGTTCTTATCTAAACTGTGACCTCTTCACACAATGTGTAGTAGGTTAATAATGAAATATCCAGAAAAGTAGTGCTGTGGAAAGTTAGACATACTTTGAGTACTTCACTTTCTATACCATAAAAAGTAATCCTGTACCTATACTGCCATGCTATTTCTGTTAAAACCCCATAGCCTGTCCCACTGAACTGTGCCTTAAACTGAGGCGAGTACGTAGGTCCATAAATGCAGACACTTATAAAAATTATTACTTAAAAGTGTCAGTATAATCAATTCAAATGTGTTGTTTTATTCTATAGTGGTTTTATCAACAGGTTTGTTTTAGATGTTTATATCTATAGACAGGAATTAACTCCTGCAGCAGTCAGTTTTACAGCAAATCTGGAAACAGAAAAAGGCCTAATGATTAAAATAATAGAGTCTGAATGGCAAACAAATAAATACAAATAATTTGTTTGACTTTTTTGTACAACTATTTGCAATGTACTGGAATGCATATATAACTAGCACTTAATCTGACTATTTAATTCACATAATTTGAATCTGAAACAAAATGTATCTGCTTCTAACTTGTTTGTGTTGTAAAGTGAAATGGCGTTTGTATATATTTGTTATATCTTTTTACTTACTTATATGTAATTTCTTTTAATCTTGAATATTTCTGGAATATTAAATATGTGTTTATGTTTTTAGACTGTAGCTAATAAAGCTTTTCAGGACATCCCAGAAGGAGAAGCTTTGTAACAAGGTTTCTCGGGTGGTCATGGGTCCCCTTACAATAATCATCTGTAGGGAGCAAAATAAAAAAAATCTGTGAATAATGCAGATATTAGACCAAAGTTTCTCATTTGATATAAGTTTAAATTAAAACTGCTTCGTTTTTCTTTAAACCACAGTCAATCTAAATAGCACAGTAACTCATCTAATATAGGGAGACGTTGAGTTTTCAGAGTTCCCATCTGATTTGGTGTTGAATACTGAGAGTGATCATCACTTTGGCAGATCATTATCAGATAGTGCAGTTATAAATTTTAAAGAATCTGTTTCACTTTCTCTCTCCTCTGTGTCGCTGAGCAGTGCTGTATGTAGAGTGCAAAAGTTTTGTTTTTTCCCCTTCACAGGTTGATGATTTTGTTGATGGGGTTGCTGGCTCTCTGTGTACTGCCTTAGACAACGTAGCCCCTTTGAAAAACTTTCAAAATAGAAAGCTGCATCCCTTGTTTAATACAGAGCTGCACACTCTAAAGCAAAAACTGGAAATAAAATCATGCTCCACAGGCCTACAGAATCCTATCTAGTCTGAAAAAACGGTTTACTGCTGTATAGGAGGACCCTTTGTAAAGCAAGATCAGCATGTTTCAATAATAGAGGAGATAAGAATAATCCTAGATATCTTTTTAATACAGTTGCAAAACTCCCCCAGGGCCATAGCTCTGTTGAACCGTCCATCCCACCTGCTCTTAGCAGTAATGATTTTGTTGGATTATTTATAAATAAGATTGATTTTATTAGAAATAAGATCATTAGCACTCCACTATCCGTGATTGGCTTGTCTCTGGAGGGTGAGGCAGAATCTGAGGTGGTCATGGAATCTGAACCGGGGTTAGACTGCTTTGATCCAGTGTAACTTTCAGAGTTAGCCAAACTATTGTCTTCATCTAAGCCTTCTACTTGTATGTTAGATCCAGTTCCAACAACATTATGTAAGGAAGTATTCCCTTTGATCTCCTCCATCATTTTAGTTGTGATTAATCTATTCCTGTTACAGGGATATGTACCAAAGGCTTTTAAGGTTGCTGTAATTAAACCTTTGCTTAAAAAGTCGGCTCTTGACCAAATGACTTGGTCTAGTATAGAGCCATATCCAGGGGTAAAAGTGCAGCAATCTGAAATGAGAAACAGAAGATGGCAGAGCATGTGAAACATTTTGAGAAAATTATATAAAAAGATATATATATATAAATATTATATTTGTCAAGCTACTCAAACTCTTGTTGATTCTCTATCTACAATAAAAAGGTACAAAGGGATTTTGACACAAATCTTAGTGTTTTTATTTGAATTTGATTTTACAAGCCAGACAAAGAAAACTAGAACTGTAAAGCTAGAAGAGCATTTGTAGCTCTGGAGGAAAGATGTATTACTATTAAATGTATTGATTTGTGGAACAAGATTATCAGTGAGATAAAGCAATCCGAAACTTACTCTTTGTTTAAAACAAACCTGACTGGGATAGGCTGATATATAGTTGTCTATTAGCCCTTTGTTTTCCACGTATTGGTAAACATGGTGTGTTTTTATTTTGTATGGCTGTAATCTGAGCTGAATAAGTAATACTTTGTAGAAACTTGGGGCAGGTAATATAAGTTTTTACTTTTTTCAGCTTTCAGTTGCCACCTGAACGGTTTTTGTTATGTTGTTTTCTGTTAATAAATGAATTAAAATAAATAAAAGCATTTGTGAATATGTGCAGCATGACAATAAGGAATTATTACATTATGACATTTTTTGCTGATTTTCTTATATTTGAAAGAAAAAAAGGCCAGTCTTGGCCATTTAACTTCTGGGCTGAAAAGTTTACCCACTCCGTCGGTGGTTACAGGGTAAGGTGGAAGCAGGAGGATAAACCTGGGTTATAGCATATTTTTTGTTAATTAGATCAGTGGGAAAAGTTTTCAAAGTAAAGAAAAATGGTCTGATAGGGCAACCAAACATAATGAAATGATCCAACCCCAAATTATGTGGCCGGAGACACTTTCCCTGCTACTGCCAGACCTTTTACTTCTGTTAATTTCCATTCTGAGGAAGATGAGGGGAAGATTTGCTGTTTAATTTATTACATAACATTTAATTTCAAATATATATATTTTTTATATATCTGTAAATCCTCAGTCATCCAGGTCATGGTAAAACTTGAAAAGCTCAGTTTAGGCAACTGGATATGAAGTTTTTTTTAGAAGACATATCGCCTCTCAACCAAGAAGTTCTAACTGACGATGTTAAGATGAAAAACCAAGACTCATCAGAGGAGGTGGTCTTAGGCATTGGATGAGATGCAAAACGTCTTCCAGAAAACTTCACATCCAGTTGCCTAAACTTGAATTTTCAAATTTGATTAGCATTTAGCATGAGATATGTAGTAGAAGATTCAAACACTGATAAGAATAGATTTCCTATTAAGTCACCAGTAAAAGTAGTCTTAATAATCCAATAGATCTAGGATGATACAGCTGTTAGAACTGCATACTTGTCAGTGAAATAAATAGTTGGTACTTTTTCAGGGTTTCTCTAGGATTGCAAAAGGAAATAAAAAG